TGGTTTCTCAAGGTGGGAGAAGGGGCTTTTTTTGTTTTTTTTTTTTTTTTTTTTTACGAGGTGTTGAATGCCTTAGTTGATGTGAGGTTTTCCTAAATGTTGCGAACCACTACATATTTTCCTAAGTCGTTGGGTCACGTGTTTCTCTCTCTCTCTCTATTGCTTACCCATGTGCTTGGACCCAATAAATGGGCTTGAGTTTTGGCGCTCCCAAGTAGCCCAAAACTTCCATTCCTTGAACCCTTAATGGCCCCCATGAGTGCTCGTACCCATCCATACCACAACCTTCTCTGCAAGCCCCGGATATTTACGTGGCTTGGGCCCACTTAAGCTTGTAGCGTGGTTTGGCATTAGAATAGCAGTCCTTTAGCTTAGCATAGCCTGTTTATTTAGCATGTTCATGCTCGAGTTTTATTATGCCATAATAAGTTATGACCGGGCCAGATAGCATTTAACAGGTCAGTGAGCGTGTGTTTACAGAGTTGGGACATTTTCCGAGCTCGTTTTGACCCTTTTGCATGATGGGTTTCCATCTTTGCTTGGCATAGTGTGTGGCCCTCAACTTGTACGGTTGTGTCCGACAAACTCTCACATGTCCCAGTTGGGCTCCCCTCGTAGTTAAATATTTATGCCGGGCTAGAAATAAGCCTGGACCTAGCCTTGAATTTTTTGGGTCTCAACAAGAGGCTTTGATCTTTTCTTTATGGTGCTTAGACCAACTGAAGTGGCTGCTTGAGATGGATCAATAATAGTCTACAACATAAAAATGCTTGTCAGTTAGCAACAAAAGCTTAGGGTTATTAAGGGATAGAATTGAACAAGATTGAGTTGCTATACCTGGGTATTTTCAGTACCCCTCTTCCTCTTAGTTGCAAGTTTGGCTTTTGAGGGAAGATTCCTATGGCAAGTCCTCCTATTGTGCCCCTTTTTACCACATTGTCCAAATTTGAGAGAGTAATGTGTGTTGGGAATGAGAGACAATGCAGTTTCAGCTTGGTTGCTTGACTCTCTCATATTCATTTTACCCTTGTGCTCTCCATCTTCTTTCTTTCTACATGTCTTGAAGTAAATTGTTGTCAAATAGCAGTCATCCACAAAATCCATGACATTAAGACCCCCTTTATAATTTATGACTGCAATAGCATGAACACAAGACCATCCCTGCAAATCCCATGCTCTACAAGAACAACTCCTCAATTCCAAGTCCATAATATATTATGCATGGCCATCAGTTGACACTTGGAATTTACCTCCACCTGACCACATTGCCACACAAGCACCTACCTTGGCTTTATTTCCCTCTACCTTCTTAAATATTCTTGGGCAGATAGGCTTGTTCCATTTCAGCATTTTTTACCTTCTTCCTTGTATTCTCCTCATCAGCTTACATCTAATATAATCAAATTGGTCAATCCTTACATTCCAATATGGTAGCATTGAAAAACTCACACAGATTATTCAACAACGTGTCACACTTCAAATGAGTGTTGAAGTGTGATTTTGACCAATGCCTTGGAAGTTTATCTGGAGTGGTTAGCCATTCATATGCATTCTTGGACAGTTTTTTCAGGTCTTACATGGCCCTTGTAAAGTGGGGGACAGTGGTTACATATAATGCTTCCTAAAACATATCTCTCAGGCTTTTTGATTTGAACAATATCCTCTAGTTAGTAAAAAGGTGTCTTGCACAGAACCTATGGTCACAATTAGGGACCACTTGCTCAAAAGTAGGTAGTAAACCTTTTTCTTTGTTGGATATAAAGGTGAAGCCAAATTGATTAACAATTTCACAATCCTTAACCAATAGCTCCAGAAACCAAATCTAAGAATCCTTGCACTCTGATTCCACAACTGCATACACAATTCCCCAGGTTTCATTGTTGGTGTTTATACCCACAGCAATTAACAGTGGCTCTGCATAAACACTCTTCAAAAAGCACCTATCTACACCTATATTGGGTCTACACCCAGCTTTGAACTCTTCCTTAGCAACTCCTAAACAAACATACAACCTTTGAAATTGTGGTTGCCCCAACTGTTGTTGGAAATCAGACTAAACCAATAATCCAAAATTCTTGAATATTGTTCATTGAAAGTGCCCTCAATCAACTTTAGTGCCTTATCTTTTGCCCTATACACTTTTTCTCTTGACACCCCTGTATTATAATCATTCTCAACAGTCTCCTTGAATGACCAGACTGGCCACTGGAGATTGGACTTCAATGTCTCAACATATTTCTTGCTTATCCATGTTGACTTCACAGTAAGGTTCTCTCATAACTGTGTACATGTGTGCTCACCTACATATGTCTTCACTTACAATGTGTTCTCATGTTGACTTTTTGAAGCATATATCATCCACCCACAATTTAGGGGCCCCACAAACTACCTTCAGCTTCAAAGCTTCAGTCCTAATAAAAACAACATCCCTATTTTGCAAGATGGAGTATTCTCTGATAGCTGCCCTAAACACCTTATAATCAGTAAACAACATGCCAATCTCAAACTTTGGATCTGCCATGTTAGTTGTAGCATTGAACTCTGGCTAATTTTTATCAGCTTCATCTTCAAAATTATACTTGCACTCAGAATCTTCATAATCTAATTCAACATCTGTAGGCCAATCAGTAGTAGCCTCATTCCCAGTTTCTTTAACGTCTGTCCATTCAATTTGGTCATCCACCCATTCTTAAAAAAAAAAAAAAAAACATCATCTTTATCTTCACTAAAGTTCTTGGAAATCATATAATCTGAGTCCTCACTATCAACAGAATCATCATCTTCATCTTCAAAGTCTACAGCATTTGCATATCTTCTTCTAGTTCTCAACTTCATGAAATAGCTTTTGGACTCAGTCCTAATGCCCTTAACCCTTCCTTCCACATCTTCTTTGTCTTTCTAGTGAACAATCTTTGTCCTCCTCAAACTGCCGCATCTTTTTTTACCAAAAGCACACTTGACCGTATGTGACATGTCATCCGTCACTTTATCCTTGCCTTTGCCTTTAACAGAATAACCCTTATTAGTCTTTTCTTGGCCCTTGTCAAAGTTCTCCTCATTATTCACAGTTGCCTTTTCTTTGCCTTGTTTAGAAGCTTGATCTGTCAACCCATCTGAGTCAACCCTTCTTCATTCAACTCTTTGCCTTGTCCACCTGCTTCTTGATTCAACCCTTCTTCATTTAACTCTTCATTCAACTCTTCTATTACAACACTTGTTTTTTTTTAAATAAAAAAAAATCTTTTCCACATGAGATACTCCCCGACCCACTGGAACAATGGCACCATAATTGTCATCAAGCTCTTCAATCGCTACCCTAGTGTTGGTCCCAAAATCATCATCCAAATTTATAAATATGTTTGAAGCCACTTGACTGTAAAACTGCTCTTGACTGCATGCCAAGATATGTTCTAGGACTATATTAATCAACCTAGTGTCTTGTACAAATACTAGCATGTCTAAGACATCTGCATCCTCACTCAGCTTAATTAGGCCACCATAAAAATGATCACCTATAATACTATACTAATAGTTAATCATACCTTCGTACCCTAACTCCTTTACCATGGCATCTATCTCAGTCATTGACATTCTATCCTTATCACAATAATTGAACCAATCAGCAGACCCATTCACATAATAGTTACCTCTTATTTCACAATTATGGTACATTTCAATAGAAAATTCATCCTCATCCCCTGCATGTCAAAAGCCACACATCAATTTTACCAAACAAAAATACATTCAAAGTTGTTTACAAATACACACATACAAATACAAATACAAAAAAGACACATATACATACACACATACAAAATATGACCACAAATAAATACAAATACAAAAAGACACATACACATACAAATTTTCTATGTCAGTACACACGTACACAAAAGGTAAGATTCCCAGTGATTGTAGCACCACATACAAAAGTCAAAGTTTACTTCCGCATACCACCTACCAATCACATCATTCCATCTAGCAATTAAATGGATAGTGAAACCGACACCTAACTCAAAACTCACAATCCATTATTAAAGGCAAACTTTCCAACACGAAAGTTTCACCTGACACCAAACTCAAAACTCAGACTCTCTATTTGATAGTTCCACTTGAAAAGTTATGATACTTAAAATTATGATATTTTTGCTTATTTCATTGTTTGTAATCATTTTAGCTTTAAAATATCATAATTTTAAATATATATTTTTTTGGTTAAAAATAAGCAAAAATATATATTATTAGAAAAATTAGGTATTAGACATAACTATTTTTACTAATTAGTATTTGAGACAAACAACATTTCTGTTTGGGTTTTAATACCTAGGAATGAAATTTTGTTTTGGATTTGGCCAAAGAGGAGGCCCAGATTCGTTGGTCCACCTTATATTAATCACTAAAAAGACAATTATACCTTCTTCTTTTTTAAACATTCATTGGTCTCCCTTTTTTATTAGATTAGATCTCTCTCTCTCTCTCTCCCCGCAGCAACGACGACCACAGCCTTCGCCTGCGATGGAATTCTCAAGTTGCTCATCCCTTCAGCCTTCACCGACAACTCCAAGGTCTTCTAGCTCAAGATGAAGAGCAATTACAATCGCTATCTTGTTGAGTTCAAGATCGGAGTGTTTCTATGAGGTATTTGAGGAGGAGATCCATCAGGTAATTGTTGAAAACCAATTATTTAAGCCTAGTGAGCGCATTGCCCTTGGCGCCTCTGGTGGGAAAGGTAAACTAACCAAGCTATGCTTGTAATATTAGTTAATGTCATATTAGATTGTAAAAGTTATGTGGACCTCAGCTTTTCTTCTGATAATTGCTTTTTATGTTATTTAAAACTGTCAGATTCCACGGTCTTTGCTTATGTGTTATCGAAATTGAATAGGCGGCACAATTACGGCCTAGAGCTATTTCTGTTGTCAGTGGATGAGGGCATTACTGGCTACAGGGATGATTCTCTTCAAACCATCAAAAGAAATGAAATCCAGGTGAAGTGAATATCAATTCGGAGTTGCTAGTCATATGTAATGCTTATGTTTTTTTTTCATATATATATATATATATATATTCCGTTAATCAACTCTTATTCAAAATTTCTACTTTCAATATGGTTTGCCGCTAAAAATAGTCTCGTACAAGGATTTGTGTGGGTGGACCATGAATGAAATAGTTAAGATGATCGGTCTCAAGAATAATTGCACCTTCTGTGGTGTTTTTCATCGTCAAGTATTTGCTTTTATTGGAAATTAACTGCTTGTGTATTTTTTAGAAATCTTGTATGCATGTATTTAGACATAATTTCAGCATTCATATGTTTTGACAACATCAAAGCTGTGTGGTTACTCCACAAAAACTTATGCTACTTATTATTTAGTTATGAACAAGCAATTAAAGCTACTAAAACTATTCACACAACCTTGTTTTCCATAACATCTATAATTTATAAATTCTAGCATAGATTAGCTTTCTATCTCATTAAGCATGCAAGGCATGGACAACATTTATTGGTTGTGAGAGATGATATGAAGTATTCCACTTAATGGATTTATTTTGTAGATTGAGTAGATGCACTTCAATTGTCACTAGTGAAGATGGGCCGGTTCCAAGATGCAAACCTTTTAAATACACCTATGAGAAAGAGATTGTTATATATCTTTACTACTGAAATACTCAATACTGATTTCTTTCTTTGATCACTGTTATTCATCTTAATAATGAGTTGGAATTAGTTGTGAAGCCTTAACTAGATTTGCACGTATGCATATTTCAAGAGGCCGGACTACTTCTCCATCAAATGTAATTTAGTTTAACTCTATGCTCTTTAAGATAATTTCGCTTAAGTCTTGCTCTGTTATTTTCACTCCTCCCAACCACCCTTGCCACTATATTCTATGTTTTCTTGCTTTCAGGGTTAGATCTCATAAGCCACTGTTGTTAAAATTGCAGGCATTTATTCACCCAAAGCTTATCGTGGTTTTGCTCGCGAGTTCATCAAGGATTTGGAAAGAATCAAGTTGGTTAGCTTGTTGTGAGTCCGTTTAGGCAATGTTTCACTTGTTGGCATTGTAGTTTTCACAAAATTTAATCATGCAGGAGGTATATGAACAACAGAAAGAGTTTATTTTACTTGGAGAAATGGTTGTTCTTGCAACTCTTGCTTTTGATCTTAATGTAAACCATCCATATAAACCGCTGGTTGAGGCAATAAAGAAATTCAAAGTAACTCAAAATGCCCTTGCTGAAGTTGCAATACCGTTTAAGCTTTAGTTCAGTGAAATTTTATACAGATTTTGCATTGTAGTTTTGCACAAACTACATTGCAGTTTTGGAAACTGAGTTGCAGTTTTGGTAAGTACAATTGAATTTTTGCTCTTTCCTTAGCCTTCAACCTCACCAATTTAAAGAGTAGAGGCTACCCAGATGAGGAATTGGTTGGGTAAGAGAAGAGTAGAACTACCCAAGAGCAAGAGAACTCAAAATTGGACTTTCGAAACTGCATTGCAGTTTTCATTTCATTACAATTGAATTTTTGCTCTTTCCTTGGCCTTCAACCTCACCAATTTGAAGAGTATAGGCTACCCATATGAGGAATTGGGTGGGCAAGAGAAGAGTAGAACTATCCAAGAGCAAGGGAACTCAAAATTGGACTTTCGGAAACTGCATTGCAATTTTCATTTAATTACAATTGGAGTTTTGCTCTTTCCTTGGCCTTCAACCTCACCAATTTGAAGAGTATAGGCTACCTAGATGAGAAATTGGTTGGGCAAGAGAAGAGTAGATATCAACCTTTTATTTGCAATTCTTGTATGAATACGTGTTGAAATGAATTTTTCTTTTTAACCTTTGATTGTTTATATAAATATTGTATAACTGAATAAATATTCAAAAATCAAGTTTGGTGTAGTGGTTTGTAAGCGAACCTTTCTCCTTTAAGGGTTGTTGAGGCCCAAAAAATCCATGGTTCGGCCCAATGCGATACCTTATTAAGAAGAAACTCGATTTGGGCATGCAAAAGTTCGTCATATACGCTTTGCACACATGCCATGCCAAGGAAATAAACAACATGTCACGCTATAAGCTTAAGTGGGCCCAAGCCACACAAGATGCCCGGGGCTTGCTTGAGTGGGTTGTGGTATGGATGGTAATAAGTTGTCATGAGGCTCATTGATGGGTTGATAAATGGAGGTTCCGGGTTGTTTGGGAGCCTCGAAACCCAAGCCCATTTCTTAGGCCCAAATATATGGGTGAGCACAAAAGGGAAAATAACTCAACCAAAATAAACCAACCAAAAAGCCCAATCAAAATGGTCCACTAAAATTAACCCCTATAGCTTAATATTTGATGGAGGTGGCCCATTTGTTTGGTAGGTTGACTTCCTTTCCTAGAAGACCCATACAATTAGAAGTAGCAAGCAGCAAAGACTCCATCTTTTGGCTGAAAGATAAAGCCACGAAGGAGTTTGGAAGACCACGTGGGTTGCTGGGAAGGAAGGAACAAGTTTTCAAGCAAAACATCCAAGAGACCAAGAGATATTGGCACGCAAGGAGCTACCCTTCGAACCAGCATGTATACACATTCGCATACCCATTTCTTTCCCTTATCAAACCTAGCCTTGGAAGAGGGGAGAAAAGAAGGAAGAAATATGGCTAAAAATAGGAGTCCGAAACAGCCGCGGGAAAAAGCGGCTTTGAGCACCCAAAATCCTTGATTTTATGCAAATGGGCAGAGGAAATTTCACCAAAATAGGATGATTGAAGGGATGAGGGGAGAAAGGAAGGGAAAGACTTGGTCAAATTGGATAGAAACCATTAGGGTTTCTTGGAAAATGTCAACTTCCAGCGGCTATAAAAGGGGGCCTCTTCTACCCAACAAGCATCAACCACATCAGAGAGCAAGCTTCCTCTCTTACTCCCAAAACCCAGCAATTTCGTGCTTAACTCATCATTTTCCCTTAGTTTTCCCTCTTGGCAAGCTGTTCTGACACTTGACAGAGTCTCTGTCAAGCTGCTGGAAAAACACTCAAGCCACATTTTTCTCTCTTTTTCCTCATGCTCAACAAAACCTCTCTGCAAAATCCTTTCTCTCCAACCTTAATACCCCATCTTTCCCCTAGGAACACTTAGTTTTCTCTTTAGTGCTAAACTCATGACAATTTTGCTCTCATGCCACAAGCTTCTCATGCCAAGCTAGAAAATTTATTTGTAAGTTGTTGTTATTTTCATTGGTGAAGGTAACCAAAGTGTTTCCTAAGGCTTCTCTATCCTTTCGAAGCATTCTTGGGGCTTGATCTTCGAACTCAAGCTCTGGGGCAATTTCATCCATTTTGCTATTTACTGCAGTCCAGGCCCGTAGTAGCTGCTGGAACGAAAAAGCCCCTACAAGGGTCAAGGTTCGAGTACCTTCAATGACACAACATATATATATATATATTTTAAAGGTGAATAAAGGGCAACGGAGTTGGTCTCTTGTAGATGGCGGCAGGCCGACGGTGTTGGTTGCCAACAATGGGTGGTGGCCAGAGGTGGATGGTGGCCGGCAACGGGTGGCGGGTGGCTGGTGGTGGCCTACGGGTGGTGGCGAGTGGCTAGTTATTGACATGTGGCATAGTATGCTTGCCTTAAAAGTAGTGGCATTGTGTGTAATTTTGATATTTTTTTTAATGATATTTTTGTAAAATTAGGAACTATATTTTGGACTTTGGCCTTATGCTAATTAGTTCCCCTTCTATTGAGGGATCCCTCAAATAATTTTATTTAAGGGACGCCCATTAGGGTACCCTAAATTTTTTTTCCTAATGATCCAAACCATCTATTTTTTAGGTCTTCATTCATAAATCATCCTTATAAAAAATTAGACAAATCGGAAACCGTTTCGACATCCAATTGTGTCTTACAAAATCAATGAACACGGTGCTTCAAGAAAGTACTAAAATTTCAATAACTCAATTGAGTGGTCAAATGATATCGGATTCAAGTGATTTTTTGTAGAGATGATCTTTGAATGAGTATCTACAAAATAGACGGTTTGGATTAGTGAAATACAATCCGGAGTGGGACCTATAAAGGGTGTCCCTCAAATAAGCTTATTTGAGGGATCCCTCAATGGAAGCTCTCTGTAGTAAACTATATTGTGTTTTAAAACTAAAGCTCCCATTATTTGTCCCCCCTTCACACACGGGTCTCAGGAAGCCCAGTTAAGAAGGTGTTTTTGGTGGGCCCCAAATTACTAATCCCATTTAAAACTAGAACCATGTGACAACAAACATGGGATAATTTTTTTTTTTTAAAATTTATTTATCAAAGCCAATTCAAGTTAGAGAGGCAAACCAAACGAGCCCTATTAGTTTAAATTAGGACTAAAGGGATTTTTAGGACAGTGAATCCGACATCGATTAAATGTAGGATTAGAAGAAGGATTCATCACGAATTCGAAGATGAATCAGAAGCGGATCATGTCAAATATGAAATATCACAACAATTAACTTCGCTGATGATTCGCATAGACATAAATAAATAAATAAGTTATGTTGAATTTGACATAATTATTGACACAAATAAGTTCTATTTTACAAAATTAAAGCAAAAAAATTATAAATTATAATGTAGACAAAAAATACATAGTTTCCAATTCGATACCTGTCAGTGTCAACCCAGCCAATATCGAATTCTAGTTTGAGGCTTGGGCTTGGGCTATTTTGTTCATGGAGCTAGTGATTTGGACCAATACAACAATGGCCCTAAATTCACCAATATGGGACATAAAAGTAAATTGCACACATGATCTCTATAAAACCATAAGAAACCCTAGCAGCCCACAGATAGAGTTTGAAGCTGCGCGAGTGAGTATCTCTCTCTGGTCTCTGTTAATGGAATTTAGGGTTTGTGATTATATGTTCATGTAGATGCCTCTTTGAGTAGCCCTATGAATTAATTTTGATTTCGTTTATGGCTTAGTTAAGAGGCAGATATGAATTCTGTGTTTTGTGACCGAGGCCTTTTGAGGGGACTCTCTGTCTCTTTCTCATCAATTGTCCTCCAAGCAGCCTCACACATTCTCCATTTTCTTTCTTCTTCAATCAATTTCAATTTCAATTCATGCTTGCCCTTCGAATAACCAGAAGGCGAGATGCAAATCCGACGCCGTTTGGTTCAGACAGGGGCATATAGTGTTTCGAAGCAATCTGAGGGTGACGAGCTTTCAATTCTTCATCCTCAATTAAGTTTTTTTATACTTAGCTTCGAAAATTTCTTTTTAATTAATTATGAATTTTATTTTATTTATAATTTTGTTAGTGTTGTTTAATTGTAGACCTAGATACATTGTTAGCCTTTGAGATCAACAGGAAGGTGATGATATGCCTTCTGGTTCAAAACAGAGGCTAACAATGAGATAGTTGCCCTGAATCGATTTGAAGGAGAGGAACACTTAAGTTTTTACTGTTCCTTTCCCATCTAGATTCAGATATTAACTCATACTTGTGTTGATTTTGTGGATTTGATTTTGATTGAGGACACATTACGCCATGTTCAGCTGCAGTTTTTGATTGGGCCTGCATCCAATGTTGGTCCTCGATATAATGAGGCTTTATGGACTTTAAAACGAACCACGCATCTCTCAAAAGGTGTATTTGATAGTAGAAAAATTTGACAAGATCATAGTAATTCAACGACGAAAATTAGGTCCTCGCTTGAAGATCATATTTATAGACCTTATTATTGAACAACTCCAATAAAAAAACTATACCAAAGGACAATCTTCATGAGTGAGAATGACCCAAAATTTAGTTTTTTTCTCCAATCTTGCAGAAGAATTGTTCAACTCTAAAAAGATTTTGTATTTAATTTTTCTTAAGTTAATTCCATGGTGATTTATTTTTCTGAACATTTTAAAATAAAAAAATCCTAATTTACTATCAACAAAAGAGTATGTATTCATGTACTTTGGGATGATTTTTGAGGTTGAATTAGTTAATTAATATTTTGGCCATTGAATTTCATTTTGGGCCGATCTTTTTTATAAGGTTATTAAATAATAATAATAAAATCATGGCCTTTTGATGGGAGGTAAATGTCTAAGTTGTTATTTTATATATTACTAGTCCCTTGGCACATGCTCACGCATGTGCCAATTGGTTTTATTTTTTATTTTATTTTTTAAAATAAGAAAATATAATATGGATAGTTATGTTCCATAAAAATAAGACCTATTATCTAATTTTGTTTTAATTTTTAATTTTTTTTACTATAAAAAAATGTGAATTTACCATATTATCCTTATTTAATTAATAATTTCAATTCTTAATGTTTGAATTAACCAAGGGTATTTTTTGGTATTTTGAATGTTTCACCATTCTCTGCCTTTTGCTTTATATATATAGATAAAAAATAAAAAACTAACAAGCAACATGTGGTTGGTCATGAATCAACACAAAGACTAATTTTTAGCATCAACACATGGTTGTATTTTAGCAACAACGCGTAGGCTACACTTCAACATCAGCTTCGGTCCCCAAATTTAGGTTCGACTCAAAAGTTAGGCGGAATTCCGCCTGGATTAGTGTCTGGGAGGAATTTATGACTCTGACCTAACAATATTGCATTTTGAAGTCATCTTTCAATTAAAAAACATTTACCAAACAAATTAGGGTTTAGGAACCCAATTTCATCAAGGTCCAAAGAGAAACTATTATCCTAATTGAAGTAATGTTGAACAAAAAATAATAGTCTAGGACAGGAAGTTTGTGGGTGCATAATTGAAACTTTAACCTATTACATAAGTGCTCATTTGCAACAGTGAAAGTCTTTCAGTAACTTGCAGCAGAAACAAAATATACATCGCAAAGCTGAACTCGAAGCATCTTGCTCCTATTCTTGATTTTCCCTTACCTGCAGGCAGAAGGCTACATTGTTAAACTCTTGCACTTCCGAATAGAGTACCCAGTCATCATTGACAAACTCCGTAAGCCTTTACAACTCGTATGAGTAACACGTGTATTTTTCACATAATCAACATCACCTATGCACTTATTTAGCTACTTAGAATTGTCGTCACCCTGACTTTCAAAAACTCTTTCATTTTGGCATTTCACATCGCGTCACTTGTCGACGAACATAAATGAGAATGCATTGATGACATGTTTACTAATCTGTAATGGAAATCAAAATAAGGAGTTGAATTCCGAATACTTATTACTCATGTGTTTACTTCACATAAAGAAATGAAAAAGAAAGCGAGGCCCACACAAAATCAAGCATTCAAGATTCAACTCTTGAATTTTGGAGAAATTGGACTCTTGGTTGAGAGGTAGTATTCTCATTCCTAGAGCATTAGCCCATCAATAATCCATTTTATCCTCACACAAATTTTAAAATTCCAAATTTGTCATCCACTTTAACCCAATAATTTATTTACAACAAATTCATTTTAGTTGTCAAACTAGTTTCAATTTCGATTCATGAGAATTTAGGAAACTTATAAGAAATCAATACCATTCTTACATCGATTCCACATAATTTAGTAAACAACTTTAATAAAAATTCAAATTCCAACATCTCGTCAATTCAATTCCTCGTAACCTTATTATAGATGAGTAGACATGCCAACCATCAATCGTATTTAAAATGTGTACTGTACAGTGTACACGTGGTTTAACTTCCAACACAAGGGAGGTTGTTGTTGAGAAGAGTCCATTGAGGGTCGTAATCAATCTAATCAAATTAGAAGTCACCCAAGATGAGTTTGAAGCCATTATTTATTTAATTTAATTATAAAAGTCGATTCTGGTGGAGAGGCCTTGAGGGTTACTCCAAGCCAACCCAAAAAAAGAAAAAAGAAATTACATCAGTGAATGATTTGTATAATAATTGAAGGTGTCACCAGAACATGCATGCATCCGTCGGCCAATCACATCACATCTTCAATTGTGTAATCACATTTGACAAATTGTCACTGTGCATGTGTGGGGGACTCAAATTCAAAAGTGGGTCATGACTCAATAACCTCATTTGTTTGGATGCCTATGGTGTTCAATCAATCAGAGTCCCCTTCATGCCCGCGGCCATGGGAGACCAATCAAAATATCTACGAGGGATTTGATTGCAAGAGAGATCTTCTCAAGCAATCAGCTGCTTCTGCATCTGGAGCATCTTGCTTTTGCTTGCTTCTACAAGAGGCCAAAAACAACTATCTACAATAATGGTTTGTATTGTGATTAAGAAGATACCAAGTTTTTCAACAAAGTTTTGTCAAAATTAAGATTGGCGTATAAAATAAGCAAAATTAGGCACTCAGCAATGGTTAATATCAGTTATATAATAAAGTTGGTTATTAGGAGCAGTTAACGGATTCAACTCGATGAATTATATTATTGATGACCTTTTTGTAACCAATGCTTCTGGTGAAATTTACTTCTTTTCAATAAAAATTTATAATTTAAATAAAAATAAAAAAAAACTAGTGTTGGCTTGCCAGAAATTTTTTAGGTTTATTGAAAGAGATAATGATGTTTTGAATATCCCTACCCTACCCATACAAATTATTTTACGATAAGGATTTTATTTATTTATTTATAAAAATCAGAGAATCTATGACAGATTACCCAATCAGACGATAAGGATTTTTTTTCTTGAAAATAAGTTAAACTTAGAATCTCTGTCTCCTTTTCTTTTTAAAATTTTTTTCTGTGTTTTTCATTTTAAAAATGTAACTTTTTATAAGGGCAAAAATAAGGCAAATGCATGAACGAGATTGGTAAGCATCGCTTGATAATTTTCAGACCACATGGGCCATTTTATTATATTATTATTATTATTTATTTATTTATTTATTTAAGCAAGCGATAGTCTCGATAGTCTCTAAACTTACACGCTCTCAATACATCACATATGTTGCCAAACTAATAGACAGTAGGGAATCTAAAATACAAACGGGATTCAGAATCTATACAAGCATTCCATGCAGTGTACAGATATTAATTGACTTCGCTTAGACCAAGAAAAAAATATAGACCTTTTACAGAAATATATATATATATATGTATATATATTATTTAATTTCACCCCTCAAAGGAATGGATAGGAGAGGTGTTCATAGACCAGTATAGTGACCACCAAATGTGACATGAGCTCTGGTGATGGGTACCCCTCTAACTGCTGAAAATGCTTCATTGAATTTGGTTGCATGCTCAACTGCCTGCTTAATCCTCTGCATTTCCACAAGTGGGATTACATTGGGTTAGCTCCACAATTCATAAGCTACAACTATATGTTGGAAAAACATGATTGTAATATCACGTGACATGCACAACATTTTGTTATTATGTATCTTTACTTCTATAAGATATTGAAAAATTAAATGATGATGACATAATGTTATGAATTTATTATTTCTATAAGCGATGGAAAGATTAATAACAAGATTTATTCGTGTTGAATTGCTTAACGGTTATTAATACTCATCTCATGTAATTTGAGAGGACGTTGTAAACAGTCGTTGTCTTCTTTCTTAACACATTTTTCAACATTCACAAATTAACATCACTCATATCCTCATGTCGCATTTTTTGTTTAATAGCTAACCGAACATTGTCAGAGCATCTACAACAGTAGTAACATGGCGGTAAAAAACCTCATATGCATCTCATATTTACATGAAATATGAGATCTAATGACTAGTAATTAATTAAAACAAAAGTAAATAACAATAAAAAGCTAACATCAAGAAATCAAAAAAGGTATGTAATGGGAATTTGGATAATTTAATAAAGTTGGAGAAAATTTGCTGACCTTGTTGTCATCAGTGTAGATCTGGTAGCGATTCTGGTTCTGTTGATACTGTTTGTTTCTCTGGTGCGTACCAAAAAACAGAACACAAATAGTAGCAGCAGCAAAACCAAAAGAGCAAATAGCTCCAATCCCAGTTAAGCTCAGCTTCCAGATGTTGTTCCTGTTATGATCCCTACCATTCTTGACCAAATCATCCTCCTCCTCCTCCTCCTTCTTGGTGTCTTCTGAGTCGAACAAGTTGTTGTTTTTCTCACCAATTTTCATTCTGGGAGAGGTGATCTTGCTCTCAATAGAAGCAACAGCAGCAGCAGCATCAGTAGTTTGATGCTGCATAAATCTTGGTGATCTGCAGGTAGGAGACTTCGGTGAGTCCATTTTCATGTCGGCAAATTCATTTTCCCAAGTTTTCTTGAAGTAGACTTGGGAGAGTTGTGTGTCTTGATCATCAGCTTCTAAAGCTTTTGCTTTATAATTAGTCTTGTCATCAACTAGAACCCTAGCAGCAGGGACTTGTTCTTCTTCTTCTGAGGCCTTGACAAAGCTTGCAGGTAGCTCCAATTGAATTGGAACAGGCACAAGCTGATTAGGCACCCTTGAATTAATAAACCCCTGTGGTGGAATTGGTGGTGGTGTCTCGATGAGTTTTCTTGAATTGGGTGATGGGATTATGAAGTAGTTCATGTTGAAAACGCTTTTGGAATCAGAATATGCCTTGCTTGAGAAAATCCTTTTCTCTTCTCTCTCTTCATGGAAATCAAGAAACCCATCATCAGGGAGGTACTCCCACTCATCAAGATCCATCTTTTTTTTCTTTCCAAACAAAATTTTGGGATTTTAATGAGAGTAGATGATCAAAGGAGGAGGAGGGTGTTTGCTAGAAGTAGGAAACAATTGGGAATTTAATTCAAACTTGGGTACTGTTGTTGAATAATAATTGAATCAAAGACGGTGGCTTTCATGGAGTTTTGTGTGGAAATGAATGGGAAGAGGGCACCCCCGAAATGGTGCGTGTGTCCTCTTGCTCTTGGAGTGAAGAAGATGGATTCAGAATCGAGGAGGAAGATAATGACAAGGTTTGAGAATGCTTATCCCCTCTAAGGGACCCACCAAGGAGAATCGCCCTTCCTTCCGGATGGGATTTGGTTGATATTTATTTCCATTTGTTAATCCCTTATTTAAATGCAGAGTTTGATTACTATAATGTAACTTCGGTTAGGGGTGGAGTATAATGTTCATGCTCACAATAGGATGCCAAAATAGCTCTCAACTTAAGGTTCTGTTTTTGATCTCCTTGTGAACACTTTTAGAGAGAGAGAGAGAGAGAGAGAGAGAGAAGACAGCGAAGTTTTCACCCATCCAAGGGAGATTCTTTTGTTGGTCTCACTCTGCAGAAGGGCAAGAAAACTACGGTGTCGGTTGCTTGTTCAAGTTTGCTTGGAATGACTATGATGGGTAGTTTTTAAAGGGTGGAAAAGGGCAAAAAAGAAAATTAAATGAAAGTGACAATGTGTCTTTGGGTTGGAATCTTTATTTGGTTCTTTTAGTTATTTATTTTTATTACTATAAATCTCAAGAAAATAGCCCTTTTTTTTCTTTCAAAACTTTCTTTTTTTATTTTATTATTGGCAAATTACAATAATGATCCTCGTAGATTATTTCATTTTTCACTTTCATCATTGTAAATTGTAATTTTACTTTTTGCATTGTTAGTTCAATCTTTCATATGATATAAGGTGAGAGGGGGTGACCGAGCCCAACAAGAGCCTACGCGGCCAAAGCCCAACGCGCATAGCCCTAGGCGTCACTTCGAACTTTTCTACGAGTGGATTCCATGTTATCGAATATATATCATTCAATCGAGCCCTTAAGATTTAGAAGACACACCTTTACGTCAAGATAGTATATTTTCATGGTAATCTAACAGAGAGAGGGCTGCGAAGACGGACATCGAAGTTCAACGTCAAGTGACTCTCCATATGGTTCTAGGAAAGGTAAGTGTTATCTACAGAGAATCTATGAATTCATAGGAGGTTAGGTGCTTTTACAATTTTACAATATGTTTCTATACGTTGCTTTCGTGTCATACGATTTTTGGAGTGATCAAGAATTGAAAGACATGGTTTAGAAATGTCTCATAATGCTGGATGCTCGAGCTATCAACGGGAGGGTTAAGCACTTCTTCCACAGTGGATTGTACCCAAAAGTGAATTTTCTTTTACCTACGTCAGACTCCAAATATGAGTTAGTTTACCATTACAATTGTAGTTTTGATGTTCCTACGTTGACTAGGAACATGTCCTTAGTTTTTCTTTCTTTTCGGGGAATACTAGCAACTTTATCTTTAACATTCTCTTTTGAATCTTCTTCATTTTTTGCTTGACATGTGTCATTCTCCTTACACTTAAAACAATGTCATTAATATATTATACAAGCTAACTTTTGCTTTCCAAGTTTATCTTTATTAAATTTATCTCAAAAAAAATTCACAACTTTCTTACCATCTTATTAAATTTTTTCTAACGCCAATTATTTTTTTAAAAGAAAATATATGCTTTTTAAGAGGAAAGGTCCCTTTTTTTTTTAAAACACAAAGGGTTTAGATAGGAAAAAAAAAAGTCCTTTGTGTTTAAGAAAAAAGTACATTTCCTCTAAACCCTTTGTGTTTGAAAGCATACATTTTCTTTAAAAAAATAATTGACATTTAAAAAAAAATTAATCAGATGGTAAGAAAGTTGTGAAATGTTTTTGGATAAATTGAATACATTTAATAAGGGTAAACTTGGAAGGAAAAAGTTATCTTGTATAATGTATTAATAACATTGTTTTAAGTGTAAGGAGAATGACACATATCAAGCAAGAAATGGAGAAGGTCCAAAGGAGAATGTTAGAGAGAAGATTGCTAGCATTACTCTTTTCTCAAATACTTGAGGACGTACTTGACAGTTTCTAGGGTGTCGATCTTGGGCTTGATTGATATTGACTTGTGATGCACACGACATAACCAATATCAAGGCTATTGCACAACCTAACATACATGAAATATCCTATTACAAATGCATAAAGGAATTTAATCATACGTTGTGTACTTTTGGGATTCTTAGAGCACATGCCCTTAGAGAGGTGATTTTCATGTTTCAAAAGGATTGAGATAATTCAATTTGCCTAATTAAATTTCTAAATTTATACAGATAAATTTTTTTCGCAAGTACACAATGTATTTCTCCCAAATCAAATTTTGAAGAATATTTTATCCATAACTTTATTCAAGAAGGAATATGTTGTCGTTTCCGAAAGTAGTATGTAGTCTACATAACAATAGATTCATTTGCATCTTTGTAAGAAAAGAAAAAAAGGGATTTTCTTATCAAAGTGAATGCTCCTAGCTCCCACTAGCTTGTTTAAGTCCATAGATGCAACTTTTATGGCTTGTATGGAAATTAAATACAAAGCAAGTAAACTTTTAGTTCTAGTACCCCGAGATTAATTCGGCCAAATTAATTAAGAATGAATATTTGAATAAATAAAGAAATGATTTTCATGTAATTGATACAAACATGCTATAATTGAGACAAGTTTTGTCATATAATTACTTCGATCAAAGGATACTACATTGGAAAAATGCATGCTTAGAGTTAGTTAATCATTTTCTTGAAACTCATCATAAGAAGCCATTTTATAAGAAACTAGCCTCTCGGCATGCACTTTCGCGCTTGGGAAAGGTTTTTTTAAGAAATTTTTAAATTTGTTTTAGAATTAAAAAATATAATAGGTAGTTGTGTTCCATAAAAATAGGATACATTATCTTATTTTCCTTTTAATTTTAGTTTTTTTAATATAAAAAAGTGTGAATTTACCATATTATTCTCATTTAATTAATAATTTCAATTCTTAATGTTTACATTAACCAAGTGCATTTTCTGGTATTTTGAATGTTTCACCATTCTCTGCCTTTTGCTTTATATATATATAGATAGGAGGCGAGTTGGATGTAAAGTACTATATCTAATCTATTAATAATGGTCACTATTATTCGACACACAAAAAATTACCATATAGAACCCATGAACACATGCATATTGGTGAATGACTTTAGTGATAACCTAAGATCAATCCCTTGAATTGATCCAAATTTTTTTTTTAAGTCCCTTGAATATGAATTATATCAAAATCACTGTGAAGTATAGTTTCATTCTTTAAATAAATAACAATCAATGCACCGTGGTTCGCCACTGCACGTGGAGTCTATGCATAAAACATTCTAATTAAATAACCATCCATAAAACAATCTTACTAACACTAATTAATATTAAAAGAAATTCTTAAGGAAATCATCTTAAATGAACGAACATGAACTAGGTGAATTAACAAAGCAATTAAATATTATTATACATATAGAATACATATAATTTGTTATAAAAGTATAACAACTATATATATTTACTACTTACCAAGGTAATTACCTATAAATATACATATATAAACTAAGTAAAGTGTAAAAATGTTTAATTTGCTTTTATGAATACATACAAGTTCTCACATGACTAGTTAAAGTTTGTCTACCAAAAAAACTAGTGTTGGAGAAGAACATCAAAGTTAAGTTGAATTTAATCAACTAATGTGGGAAAAGAGTGTACAATAGCACACAAATTGTGTTGTGTGCGTATGTTTCTAGTGCGTTCTATATTGGATTGATTTGTGATCATTAATTATTCATTATGTTAGTATGAAAATTGTATTGACATTTTCTAGACTCTAGCATATGTCGGTTATTAGTGTGTGAATATTTTTTATTGGAAGTTTTGGCGCAACACATTCAATCCCGAATTTTCGAGTGTGACTTGATTGATATGAGGAAACTGATTTCAAGTAAACCATGACATAATAATACATTCATGATAGGATTCTTAGTTGGAGTTATTTTCACTCAAGTGCTTATGTGTTAGTCTTATTTTTAATAGGATTAGATTTTATCTTTTGAGATTACTTTTCTAGTTGGACCTTATATTGATTCTCATTAAATCATTACTTTTCCTCTTTTGACTTGGAGGGCACATTGCTGTATTAAAGTCCTCTCCTACCTAATTGATCTCATTGATTTATCTTGGTAGATATTATTTCCTTCTATAACATTTGATTGTAGTGAAAGACATCAGGAGGCGAGTTGGATGTAAAGTACTATATCTAATCTATTAATAATGGTCACTATTATTCGACACACAAAAAATTACCATATAGAACCCATGAACACATGCATATTGGTGAATGACTTTAGTGATAACCTAAGATCAATCCCTTGAATTGATCCAAATTTTTTTTTTAAGTCCCTTGAATATGAATTATATCAAAATCACTGTGAAGTATAGTTTCATTCTTTAAATAAATAACAATCAATGCACCGTGGTTCGCCACTGCACGTGGAGTCTATGCATAAAACATTCTAATTAAATAACCATCCATAAAACAATCTTACTAACACTAATTAATATTAAAAGAAATTCTTAAGGAAATCATCTTAAATGAACGAACATGAACTAGGTGAATTAACAAAGCAATTAAATATTATTATACATATAGAATACATATAATTTGTTATAAAAGTATAACAACTATATATATTTACTACTTACCAAGGTAATTACCTATAAATATACATATATAAACTAAGTAAAGTGTAAAAATGTTTAATTTGCTTTTATGAATACATACAAGTTCTCACATGACTAGTTAAAGTTTGTCTACCAAAAAAACTAGTGTTGGAGAAGAACATCAAAGTTAAGTTGAATTTAATCAACTAATGTGGGAAAAGAGTGTACAATAGCACACAAATTGTGTTGTGTGCGTATGTTTCTAGTGCGTTCTATATTGGATTGATTTGTGATCATTAATTATTCATTATGTTAGTATGAAAATTGTATTGACATTTTCTAGACTCTAGCATATGTCGGTTATTAGTGTGTGAATATTTTTTATTGGAAGTTTTGGCGCAACACATTCAATCCCGAATTTTCGAGTGTGACTTGATTGATATGAGGAAACTGATTTCAAGTAAACCATGACATAATAATACATTCATGATAGGATTCTTAGTTGGAGTTATTTTCACTCAAGTGCTTATGTGTTAGTCTTATTTTTAATAGGATTAGATTTTATCTTTTGAGATTACTTTTCTAGTTGGACCTTATATTGATTCTCATTAAATCATTACTTTTCCTCTTTTGACTTG